GTGAATTGTCTATGCCATGCTACAATATCGGATTCAGAAAAAGATGTTGAAATGTCTGAAAGGTCGGACACAGGCGAGAGCGTATCAGGAGATGGAGACCAACAAGACCTCCCTCATCCATGGCCCTATCTCTAAGAATTTGTCGAAATAGACGAATAACTGAGCTTTCAATTCATATAGTGGCATCTGGCTGTTTTTTTAAGGTTACTTTATACTTTAAGTAGTTTTTGGAGCACATACTTCCCTTCTACACACATTTCACTTTTACTTGAGGTCAAGAGATCAAGTTGATACTTGAACTTTTACCATAGAGTTTTTTTTTATTCCAATATCTATACTTCTACTTAAGTAACAAATGTGTGTGCTTTAGACACCACTGATCATTTTTAGAGTTAAGGTTCAGTGTTTCAGGTTTGCATCCTCTTTCATCAGCCTACTCACTATTTCGTTTTGTTTTTGGTCAAGATTTGAATCCATGGTTGGTTTAACCATTGTACCATATGCCATCATCCCGGTGCTGATCAAACCATATTTGTCCACAGAGATAAACGCCTCTGTGTATAAAAAATGTACCTGAAAGCAAACAATAACTTTAATTTTTTGTGGAACAAGTGTATTAGCTGAGATGTATCCTTAACCTTAGTGTTCCTGTGAGAAGAGGATAACAACATAATCAGCTGTGACCCTGTGATTTGGCAGACATCTTGGCAGGTCCTTCTTGTCAGTGACAAACTGCAGAGCAGTCATATGATTGGCTGTTGGAGCGGAACGGGCATCTTTGTTGTTAAAAGTTGCCTGGGCAAAGGCACTGATAAAGGAACCAATGAATAACTCCGTTTAGAGGTCTGTTGCCACTGCCCCCTACTAAAAAACTGACGAAGCTCATGGCATCTCTTCTGTTTGGCAATGTGTGTCAGAAATCTTTCCTCTCTTTTCTGTGTCACCTAGTAAGGCTGATACCAGCCCAACTCTTTAAGAAAAAATATCATTGGCTTCTTTGTTTTATCCAAATCACAATGCTTGTGTTGCATTAAGTTATCTGTAGAGTAACATTACTGTGGTGATTATATAAATGCCTTGCAAAAATAGGCATTTCCTTGCACTTATTCCCATTTTGTCAAGTCATACTTCTACAGGAGGGTGAACCTCTGTTTTATATTCATCCTCATCAGGTTTTTATTCTCCAACTGTATTAAGCTCCATGCAAGTTTTCAACAAACCTGTTAAGCTTTTAGCCCCCTGCTAAAGAAAATAGCCCCTAAGCATGATTCCACCTCTACCATGTTTTGCAGCATTCTGTTCAGTTGTCATGCCATTCAACCGGATACATTTTTCTGCATGATTGATGTGTCCCCTTCCTGAATCATGATAAACTCTAATTGGGGTTTGTAATTACTTTTTCCGACGGTGGATTTATTCATATCCACACAGGCCAGATTTGTAAAGTACTGGTTCTATGTAGTTACTCTAGAGTAACAGGGGGTCTAGGTGCTGCTTTTTTTATTAACCTGCAAATTTCAGGAAGCAACATGTCTCTGTTTCCCTTACCTGTCGTGTTCCTCGAACTTCATTACTCTGTTCACTAATATTTTGGGACAAGTCTTTGAGGTCCTGTTTAATCTAAGTATAAACACAGTTTAAGTCACCTTTGGTTTGACTTATTAGGTGACTTTTGAGCAACTGGATTAAAGGCAGTAAACACTGAACACCATCTTTTTAAGGTTTTAGTGTTAAACATAAAGTTGAAAAATGTATTACTTTCATTTAACCTGTGATGGTCTATTAGTTATAATAACATACATTAACCCTATAATGCCAAATGTATCATATTTGATACATACAGTTTCTGAAATGTTTTGCGTCTGACACCTTTTGCATAATTTAATGGTAAAAACTTTGCTCAAAATCCTATTGTACACAATTAGATATACCTGATAACAGCCAGCAGAAGACTACACAAAAAATAATCTTGACTTTTCGCATAGTAATAAATTATTAATATCAAAAATGTATTTCTGTTTTTTCTTTTTACATATTTTGTTAAAAGGCCAAATAAGGACTTCAAACCATTCTTGGATCGAGCTTTAAAGGGTTAAGATTTTGGTTATAGGAGGCAATAAGGGAAAAGGTACTTAAAACAAATTTCCAAGGCATTGTTACTGATGGAAAAGAATGCAGTTAAAGTAACTCATGTTTGTGACTGAGTGCTGTAATTATATTTTTGTTGTGATGGTGCTACATTTGTGAATCATGCAGAAAGAGATGAAGATCTATGATTTTGATTTAGTTCAAGTCAGTAGAGATCCTACGTTTTTCTCTATTTTTCTATCAGAGTGTTTGTAGAAATAATTAAGCTCCAGAATAAACAATAAAATTTCTACACAAAGCCTTGCCAGGAGCCTTGCTCTATGACAAGGCTTTTTAAAGAAAGTAGAGGTTTAGTGTGAAAGTTTGCATCCTCATCTAACTGACTCTGACCTGGATGACATTAAAGGCTTCTTCTAATGGCTAACTACGCTGGTCTGGATGCTGGCTGTGTATTTGCCTGAGCAAACATCCTCACTAACGTGAGAAATTTTCAGCACCACTTGATGAGTCAGTTCCATCAGTTTTGTTAATACCACTTAAGCATTACCAACTTCGCAACCAGTTTGTTTTGTTACCATTAGGCAATGAACCTTTTCAAGTTTTTTTTTTTTTTGCTTCATTTTTTCCATTTATTTTATAGAACCAATTTGCATAATGATCAAAATAGGCTGCTCTCAGCTTGAAATGCTGTTTAATACAAATATTTTTTCCAATTTAGAAAACCACAATGCAATATGAAATAAATATGATTTATATACATGTAATTTATTTATATATATGTAATTTATATATATATATATATATATATTTTATAAGTTCCACACAGGAAAAGCAAGTTGTAAATGTTGTATTGCCTTATTTTTTTTCATACTTTTTGTACAAGAGGCAGACCTTTGGCAAACATTTAAGGCACATTGGTAGAACTTTTATTTCAGTTATTGGCTCTGTTTTGTTTTTTGTTTAGCCAATTTTTCTGCCTAGTTCTCATAGAAACATTACAGCATCTTGTTCCAGTTTGTTCCGAAAAAACAGGGAAGTAAACAAATAAGTAATCATCTTGTCATAAAACAGGTTTATTTAACATAAAAAGTACTCCTATTTCAGAGCTTCTTAGTTCCCTTTGTGGGTCTGCTTCTGTCTTCTCAAACCCACAGTCAGTGAAAGCAGAATATCGCTCACACTGAACCTGCTTCTGCTCTAAGTTTCTTCTCATTTAAAGAGAGTTCTCCTCTTTGGCTTGCTTGAAGGATTGCTGAAAACTCACTGGCACTGCAAGTTATCATGCAAGTTGTCATCAAGGACGAGTGCATTCTGCAAAGTCAATGACTATATTCAATCAGCTGGGCCATGGAAAGGGTATGGCACACATTGATATGTTTCTCCCTGTCAGGAACTCTGGTTAGGTCAATTAACCTCTTAGTCAGATCTTTGAACTAGAAATCCACCTTTTGTTTGTATAACTGGCCACAGACTGATTGCTAATGTTGTAAAAAACTGTTTCTCCTATTTTTTTGGTTACTCAACTTTCTGGCCATGGGTGCTGAATCCTCTCCTCTCCTAGTGAGGTCTCCATATTCCCTGACAACCAAGCTACGGTAGGTTTTATGATTTCAACATATTGTTGAATTTACGCAACTCTGTTAAAAAGGTCAGTGCCGTGTTGTCAAAAGAACAAGACCATGATGAATCATTTGAAATTCATCCAGATATATTGTGGCATATTTCCTGTGCCGTTGTTTGAGGAAGATAAATCTGTAGCAGTAAAAACAATAAAAAGGTGCAACGGCCCCTGTGCACATTGTGAAACAAATTCTTCAGAGCAGATTTAGATTTAATCTCAGAGGCCAGTCTTGTGTGATCTGTGTTTGCCCACTGCTTGAAAAAACAATAAGGTTGTGAGGATAACTCATGTTCATGACCCATTTTTTGGTGACCTATTTGATTTTGAATCAGATATAGTTTTTATAGATACTAAGTAATTCCTAAACTTTTATCTTTCTCTCATGAGGTCAGACTCATCGTGAGATTAAACAAATAAATTCCTTCATCAATCTTACCTTTTAGAACAACTGAAAGCTTAGAGTATGTTTTTTTTTTTTTTTTTTGGCTGCACATATCTGCATCTGCCTTTAAAAATACCTAAGCATCACCTAAAGAAAACTAACCCAAGAGAAACATAAAATATTTGTATGTTTAACAGGCATGATGGTCTTGGCACTGTTTATTCATTTGATATTTTAGGTATCAAAGAAAGCTTTTTTTTATTTCTTTAAACTTTACCTTAAGATATTTTTGAGCTTTTAAAGTGGATTTGTGGGAAAGATTTCACATTACTAAAAAAAAAAAGTTTACACCACAAGATCTAGCATCTTTATGATGATTTGTACACGTTTGACTGTCTCTTTCATTTAGCCTTTTTGCATTCAATTATTTCCCGGCTGGCCCAATAATCAAACAGTATGATGTTGTTTTACCAAAGGATTTGGAGTATTAGAGGGGCAAAGTAAAGTAAACAGTTATGGTTTCATGAGATATGTTCTAATCATGTCTAGTTGTATCGCAAAAGCAAAAAGCCGTTGGAGAAAAGTAAAGACAGATAGTCAAAAATTAGTACCGGTAACAATAAAAGTACTTTTCAGACTTGCAGATATTTGGAGTCATAACTTTATACTCTATCATGTCTATCAAAGAAGTAACACAAACCCAGAGCTTATTTAAATGTGTGAAAGTAAAAATTGGTGCCCTCTTACACAGTAACTAACCTTTGTGGCTTGTGTATTTTTGGAACATGATGCTGACTTTAGTCCAAAACTTTTCTATTATCCGGTCTCTATAACAAAGTGAACAAACATGTCTTTTACCCAAATTCAAATCATACTACTAATGATTTGAATAAAATACTCACCTGACTAAAAATAGACACAATAAACAATAGGAACTCACTTTATTGGGCATTATCTGATAAGGCATCCCGAAAATGTCTAATAAGAGAGATAATTCAGCTCGGAGGGTGTACATTAACATTGGCTATAAAACAAGAGATGGTTCAACTATTTGAAATCCAAGCTACTGCTTTGGCAAGAGCAGTCATATGAAACACAGTATAAAGATGATCCAGTTTCTGTATGGCTCCATTGTTCTTGGGCCCAAGGCGGAGGGTATTTCTTTTGTTTGGTAAAGTGTATTTCCTGCTCTACTGATAGTATCGGTTTGGTGAAAACAAAGATAGTATTAGATATTGATCAAAATAGAATTGAGACCAAGGTTGACACTTCTAGTATGTGCTGTAAAACATATGCTTTTGTTACGCTTTTTATTAATGTCATGGGTTAACTTTTGTTATGTAAGCCACATCAACACAAAAAAAGTGAATTTAGGAGACATTCTTAACTTTATTGTGAAAATGTTTATTTACAAATGATCTCCCATCTGTCTGTCTGTCTCTCTGTTTATCTATCGCTGTCACTTGGAGTTAAATGACAGACGTTTAAATAAATTTAAAACACCAATGTTTGCCCGCTTCTCTCATTGGAGAAGGAACAAAAGCCACAAACTCGTACCAACAGTTTGAAATTCACAGTTATTGTCACCTCTCCCTAATAAATTCAAGTCAAGTATATCAGCAGGTTTAAATCCAAAGATTTAACATGCTTAACAAGTACAATTTGTTTTCTTTTAAGTTTACAGTAATATGCATCCAGTAGATTTCTAGATTAAATCAAAGACATTTCAAAGCAAAAGGAAAATACATTCTGTTAGAAATGTTTAAGTGATTTTAAAAAATTATTCTGGAACAATCATTTGAATCGGCTGAGAAAATTACCTTTGATGTAGACAATAACATTTCCCCAATGAGATCCAAACATATCAACTAAAACGCGTCTGATTATCTTACGTAAAAATAAACTCTGACAACATAAAAAGGGTTGGGCTTTAACTGTTCCTAAATCAAGCAGTTAAGATTACTATTTAAAAAGTAAAATAAATGTAAGATTTTTCTTCACATTGTAGTCACCGCAGTAAAACAGACTAAACTTATTAACCACTAATTCTTTTAAAATGAAGTTGGTTCAAAACTTGGTTTATTAGAAGACTTTGTAAGTAAGCAAATCTGCATTTTTTTCAACATTTTCTATTAGTTTTATTCTATATGTTCAAATAGTTTTTTTAAACAACTGAAAAAAAAGGAAAGGATGGTTCATTTTAATTCCCTAAATTATTCAACTTGTACACAGTAAGGTCCCTTTACTTGAAAAATTTTTTAATTATTAAGTGTAAAATAAATATAAAATCGTCCAATTTTACTGCCCAGATTGGTTACACTCAAAGAAAAAAAAAACCATGGCACATGTCTAACTTGATTAAGTTAACATCAATGATTTCTGGCTTTCTTGTCCAAATACTGCTCCCGTACATATGCTTTTTCTTTTTTTTATGTCAGAGCTGGAAGTGTGCTATTTGTAGGCACTTTGGATTTTTCTATAAAACAATTGCACACATAATGTGGTCAAATCAATATGAGCTAAATCCTTCTTTCATTGTTTGAAAAACCTAAAGTGAAGGAAAATGCATTTCCCCCCCTTATATTGCCACTATTTCGCTTCAACCCGCATCATTTTTTCTACCACTTGTAACTTGCAAGTAGAACAGGATATGACCTCATTCCCAGATCTTACCCCAAACTTCCAAAACAAAATTAAGCATTACAGAATGATTAATGTAGATTTACTATACTTTGTCATTTTAAATAAATTATTTAAACAAAACTTCATTCTTGCCTTTAAAACTTTGGTAAACAAAAAAGAGGGTAGACATTTAAGATGACGTTAAGCCAGCCTAGTTTTAGCAAAGAATCTAGCTGTTTTATTTTGACAGAAAGCCAAGTAGTTTATAATCCTATTGTTAAAAAGCTGTTTGGATTTTTTTAAGTTAAGCTTTCCTTTGCCTAAGTTGAAATTATTTACTAATATTTACTGTAGAGCATGAGGGACCTTGATGTCAAACAAAAAATGTGCGACTTCTACTTTTATGCAGATGAATGTTTTTTTCTTTAATTGCTCTCTGAAATTGCAGAAGGTGCTTTTGAATATGTGCTGCTTGTACTTTTGAAATGTAAGTTTATTAATTGGTAGAATTGTTGTTCGAATAACGGAAAGTGTGAGGAGGAAGGCATGTATGACTGCTTCAGACGAGGTGAGAGCATGTTTGAACATTCACAGGCGAGCCCACAGCACCATATTAAATAGCAGAAAAATGATAAATGCTGTCTCTGAATTTGAGTGCCAACATAGTACATACATAAAAACTTACAAATCTTCATAAAGTTTTAGAAATTGCAATAATTTACTTGACATTTGAAGAAACTCCTCTAGAACACCCATTGCTGCTCAGAATCAGCAAATTAAATATTGACTTTGTCTCTCCACATAAAGGAGAGTTTCCATAAAAGTTTGCTTTCTCCTTTGCTGCATTTGCAGCACAGTATTTGCCGTTCCCTGTGGTAAAGTTCAGCTTTAGTCCTTTGTTCTCCTGGAGCTATAGGAGTTCCACTTTCTTTGAACAGTTCAGGTCACTGTTGACCAGATACCACATGTGCATGAGGTCCGATGGTAGGAGCTTGTGCACCACTATCATGTTTTTGAAGAAACAAGGCTCCCGGTTCATTTTACTATTTTTGTTTTTCACCAGGCCAAATGTCTTGAAGGCGTTGTGTTTTACTGGCGTGACCTGCAGTGCCTCCAGACACATCCCCAAGAACACATCGTCGATGGGGTACAGCTCAAGGGTCTCAGCGGCCCAGTGAAGCCTCCTCGCCAGCATCCCATGCATGAGAAACCCCCCGCCCCCAGCATACGGCGGGTAATAGGTTTTATTATACAAAGCCTGGGGGATGTAATATTTGTTTTCCTTCTTACGGATGGGCTTAGCCTTGAAGATCACGTCCCCTATGAATAGGTTTTTGTCATGGCTGCTGTCTTGAAGGAACTCAAAAATGTTCTCAACGCTCACAAACACGTCGTCATCCCCCTTGAAGACATATTGCACTCTTGGGCAGTAGGTATGGAACCACTTGAGAAAGTGAGTCTCTTTCAGTGTCAGATTGAAAAAACTGTCTAAGAAGTCCCACTGAAGAATATCTCCATATATATAGTCTTCATACTCTACTAGTTTTTGATGGTTAGCTCTTTCTGCCTCATTTGAAGGCTTCCCAAGTAGAAAGAGGGTTTTTATCCTCTTACCGTTGATCACTTGCTCCTTTCCCCAAGTTTTTCTAATAACTTCTCTACGGTCATGCTGGGTAGCCACTGATTTAATCACCATGAGCAAATAAATCTCCCCTGTGCACTTTTCTTGGTGGTTGAGAATCATGGGGAAGAAGCGGCAGTGGCGATAAAGCAAGAACTGTCTAAAGTTCTCTTCAAGTCCTTGGAACCACGCTTGGCTTGAGAAGTTGAGGTTGGCACTGCAGTTGGAGCTGGTTATGTCCCAGCTACCAGGGCTGATGTTGTCTGTAAACTTGGGCTCCTCTGGGGTGGCCCAGGCATTGGTCTGTGGCTTCTGCCTACCAACCTTCCAGAAGCTCTTAAACCCCAGGAGTGAGGGAGTTTTTTTCTCTGGGGGGGCTTCAGGGTCAGATAGCTGGGAAAGATGCATGCGAGCCTGGCGCTCCAGCTCAAAAGGAGCCCCCATGTTGATGCTGCTCCTCTGGACAACGGTAACTGCCACCACAGCCAGGAGGAACATGGCACACACCCTCTTGTACACTCTCCATCGGTCTCTGTTGTTCATTCTACAGGAAGTCAAGAGTAAAAGACAAAATTAGGATTTTTTTTTAACATAATAAATATCATTACATTTTTTAATATTTAGTAAGGTCACTAAGAGAATCAATCTGACCAATTTCAGCCATGTCTTTGTGGATTAAAATGTCATAACCTCGTACCCGGAGGTTGTTTCAGAGAGGCAGGTAACTATCTTACCCAGTCAGTGGGTAAAAAAAAATAGGTCATTACAGAGGAAAGAAGGCAAAACAGCATCACACACACTCACGGCAAAAACGATCTAGAAATAAGTTAAAAATAAGCTCTTGAATTCATTGTATTTGCCAATAGAATGAGTAGCGTTATTCTTAGATTAAGATTATTAGATGATATGCAATTGAAATAAGGCAATGCATTTTTTGTGTGCCAATTTTAAAAGAAAATAACCTCCAACAAACAAAAAAAAAAAGAAAATTAAAATCAATTAACTGGACTTTGTTTTCAAGTATGAACACATTTCTACTCCTATCCAAGAAGCGAAATGGAAGCAAAATGTCAGGAATAGCGTTGACATCGTGGTTTTATGCAGTAACCCAACAAGGCCTATTTCTGACATAAAACCTCAAACTCAACGCTATCCATGACATTTTGAATTGAAAAAGCTTCCTGGGTGGTAAGCAAAACGTCTTAAAACTTGGAAACAAAGCATGGTGGATTGTTTATAATTTTCTTTTTTTGAAATGACTATGATCTGGATAACTGAGAATCTCAACCAGCATATTCCACTGGCAAAGTCTCTCACTTACCTCCTCAATTCAAGGAAAATGCACTCATTTTAAGAAAAAAAAAGACTTATTTAGATTTCAGTTTTTTTGCAGTGGGTCATTTAGAGAGAATTATTCACCACTACATTCAAAAAATAGAACAGGAAATTACTGCTGCAAGAAGACAGCAGTGCTTCCCCATGCAGACCAATGACCAAAAAAAAGAATCAAATCAAGAAATAAATAAGCATGGCATGTGAATGTGGTCAACCAAATTACTCTAAATATTTTGAAATAAATTCCAATGAATAAATAAAACCACAAGCATGTAACTGAATCTTGGTATAAATACAGCTATTCTGGGAAAGCCTGTGAGATTTGCGAGGAAACATTAGGGATCAAGTAGCATCACGCAGATACAGAAAGACCTGAGCTACAAAACCTACCAACACATGACCGTCTCCCTAAGAGTACGGATTTGGCAAGGGGAACATTACTCAGATTAGCAACAAAGATGCCTATAGTAACTCACTGAGAGCTAAAATCCAGAGTTCAGGTGGGAGAAACTGTTTACACTAGTATTTTGCTCTTCAGGCCTTTGTGAGAGAACAGCAAATGAAAAAAAAAAAACTGTTGAAAAGGGAATAAGACATCCCATTTGTAAGCTACAAAAAGGACAAACAAAATATATAGAAGACGGTTCTCTGGTCAGAAAAGACTCATAATTAACACTGACCAGTGTTCTAAATAAATTATGATCTAAAAAAGCTTTAAAATTTTTTGCTAAAAAAAACCCTGTTTCGTACCAACATTGTAGCAGTCTTAAGACTTACAATCTTCTCAACTTTGATAAATTTAATTACCTTATATTTGCTTGCATGGTTTATAAAGTACTCAATGCACTTGCGCCACCGCCACCGAATTCATAAAACTGAAATCCTCTTCTGGCAAACCCACTCAGTCTATGACTAGAGGCCTTCAGATGGACCACCAGATTGTTCTTTCAGTCCAGAGCAGTAACATCTGTAACAGCATCCCTCTCACTATCATAGAATCCTCCATTTTTAACACATTCAGAACTCAGTTAGAAAACTGGTCCAAATCAAATCAACAATGTGCTCATTAGACCATACTGCATGACTCAGCCAAATGTTAGGATCGAGTGTTACCTTGTTAAGGGTCCCTTAACAATCATAGACAGGTTTCGGGTATTACAGGAGACAATCCCCCCCTTTTAACGACTGACCTTCAGAATCATAGACAGGTTTCATGTATTACAGGCAAACAATGGAACCAAACGACCCATTCATCGGGTCCATTTGCATGTTTCCAAGCAAGGCCTTGTCTATATATAGACTCAAATTCACTGCGGATCCAGACATTTGAATTGAGAATTGGTTTCAAATCTTTGAAACCAAGTCCAGTGGATTTTTGGGAATTTTTTTTTACTTTTATGGAATGACTTTGACCTGGGTGACTGAGAATCTTCATCAGCATATTATCCTCTATTTATTTGGGTTATTTATGAAGTACAATATTAAGTCAGAGAATGCTGTGTTAAAGCACAGTTTGAGTGTCTTCATAAGTAGTAAGCAAAGGAAAAGTAAGTACAGTTTATGTTATCAGAAAACAGACAAGGACACGCTGAAAAAAAGCAAACATCTGTGAAAATAAAGGACAGATTGTGTTCTGCATAATGTCTCTTTTTGGTCATTTGAACATCAACAATGAAGATAATCACAGTGGAACACACGATATGAAGCCTTTAAAGTCTAACTAGTATCAAGGTCTTCTGTAAGAACATGTGGAATGCGCTAAAGATTCTCACATTTCCATAATGCCATACCGGGGGCCGCTTCTTTCAGGACCACTGGGACATTCCCACCCAAGTGGGTCCCCTTACCTCTGAGGGGTCTTTTCTTGCCCACCCACCCAAACTAATACATTCAATGCAATTCGAGGAAAGCAATGCTAAGACTGAAAAATAAAACAGATGCTTAACTTTTCCTAAGTCACAATCGAGCAAAAAAGAAACCTATTTTTTTAAAATTCAAACACATTTCAAACAAGAGCCACAAAAAACAAAACAGTCAAACAAAAAACTAAACTCAAAGAAAACAAAAAACAAAATAACATTTCAAATAGTTACATAAAAACTGTTAATTTTTAAATCAAATGTAGAACTTGGAACACCGACTGTCCACATAAGCAATTCTTGCTCTAACATTTCTATCTAATGTGTTTAGTTTTTATTTTACCAATACAGACACTGATCTCCCTCTGACTGCCTGTCCCGTTTCCCATAATTGGGACATTCATATTTGGCACATGGTGCAGAAAAAGCCAAATTAATATTGAAACATTAAAACCAGCATTAAAACCTAATAACTGAGTCACCATCTTTAGCGAAAGAAAATGTTAAACTTACCTGTACTTTCTTCTGCTTTAGATGAGGATACCGCTTAAATAACGCAGAGCAGATTTGGATTATTTCTCCTTTTAAATTCTTATATTTTATTCTTCTCAGTGGAACTGCTTTTCTTTTTGCTTTTTCTAAAAAATCCTTTGAATCGAATCGGTGGTGAATGAGGAAGCAGCCGCAGAAAACAAGAGATTTTCCATGTGAAGGGTTTCCTTTGCGCACTGGGGTCTCTGCGCCTTCAGCGCTCACTACTGCGGTCTGCTGGAGCGCTGAGCCGCTTTTATAGGCTGCGCTACGTAGGGCACGTGTAACAGGATGTGGGAAGCTGAATGGCCATACGCTATCATGGCATTCAGTCACAAGTTACAAAAGCCCCTTAAGACAAACCAAACATTCATGTTACCGTTTCAAATGTTTAGATAGTCTTACAGGGAAAAGGAGCTTCGCCTGGAAATCAAACTTAAAGTCGTAGGGAAATCCTTTTTAAATGTCAAATCATTCTGGCTTAAACATGTAAATCTACTCTTTATCAGATGATATTGTCCCAAAATTTAGAACATTTCTTTAAAAAAAAAAAAT